GATTAATTCGACGAAGACGACTCACCATCGCTCCGCTTGGGTTCGTCCTTACGTTTTAACGCTTAGTATACATTTCTCAGAGATGAGATATTTTTCCACAGTAAAAAAATCCTATATGTTGACCCGGATAACCAGCTATCACCATACCAAATTTCATCAAAATCCCTCCAATGGTTTTTCCGTGATACGGTCACAGACAGACAGAGAGACAGACAGACAAAAATTCTAAATACTATAGATTCGGACTCTGTATCGATAATAATGGCTATTTCAGTAAAATTTTCCAAAAAGTATTTAATGTACAGATTCGACTAAGTTAGAATTTTATTATACTTGTATGTATAGATAGTAAGAGTATAAGGGATTAGAATAGCCTAAAGCGATTATTACTAAAAAAACCTCAGTAAGGAATTACCGAAGATACATAAATATCATTCAAAAATATTTTTTTCAACGAACAATAACTTACGAAACAGCTAGATAGATGTATCTCACAATTTTATTATATGTATATAGAATACATATGTATATAGAATATTAAATAATGTCCAATTTACGGTTTATGAATATGGATACGGCCTAAGTCTGTATCCGCGTTACTATCCCTATGCCATTTAAAGTGGGACAAAGAAATAAACAAATTCACTTTCACGGTACAATTATATCGTGACCTACTTTTAAATTGTAAAGCTACCAACATATTAGCGAGTTAACCCACAGGTGGAGTAAATCATATTACCAACTAAAGGATACAGGTTCAATTCTCATGTTGAAAATACTGAAATTATTCTGAAACACACATAATATGTTATTATGACATAAGAATAAATATATTATTAATTATTATATTAATTATTATATTTTTGTCCTTATATTTTATGTTTGAATCGGAAAACAACATTGCGGTTTAGAACATAATTGGTCGTGATACGGCGGTTTCATTGTTTTGTTATAAACTATTGGGTTTGAATTTTAAACTAAAGCTACTATATCTTTATCTTATATATCTTGTCTTATATATCTTTGGAACCGAAATAATAGAAGTATTTGATTTAAAGTCCTCAAGGTACGTCGGTCTGTCTGTAACACTGAATTAAGAGAGTTATTTCTTCATTAAAACGATGATTAGTGAGCATTTAAGGCCCTTTGACCATGTCCTAAATAAACATATTTAATGGTGAATAGCATGAGAAGGAAGATTATAATAACCCTAAATATTCTGGCTGCGACATTTATTCCTAATAAAAATATATTATATATATTGCACTGTGCAAGAATCGAACCTTTGAGAACCTACGTATAACTACAAGCTTAACTAAAGGAATATATTATGCCAAAATTCAAGTAAAGCACATTAATATCCTTTAAAAATAAGAAGACATCCGATGGCTATTGCCTAGTGGGAACGGAAAAACTTGTCGATGAATATTTGCACATGATGTATACACACATACACGCTTTGTATGTCTGTGTTATAATAATACGATAAATAATTCGGGTTTATCGAAGGGGCCGCGTTCGCGATATAACTGACGGTGACCATGATTCACGATATTTATTTTATTCTAAGAAGCGAAATTAATTTAAAATTCATGACTGCTGTCAAACTGCCAATACAGTATGTACATAAATAAAACAGATAAAATTTTATATAAAAAACGTGATGTTTTGTTATTTCTAATTTCTCCTTAGTTACCCAAATTTCATATTTTAGGGAACTAATATAGTACGATTATTTTATTATTTTCCTTTTTAAATAAACTGATTACTTGCAGTAATTTAGCTTATTATTTAAGATTTATTTTTTAATATATTACTAATAATTACATTTATAAACAAAACACTTGTATAACAATATCCTAAATATAAACAGCATGGTCACCCTACCGTCGGATAGTAAAGCCAAGGTCAGAGCACACTAGCAAACTACGAAATCCTTCAATACGGTCAGAGACCCGCGGAAGTCGTACCGACCAGTGTAACATGAGCCGCCGCCACCCGAACAATTCCCCTACAAAGCCATTGCGATACAAGCAACGTGCAAAGACGGAGGTCTTGTTATCTGGTGGTCGCTTTTATGTCATCATGTCAACCGGCCTTCAATTCTGATGTTTATGTAAATCACGTGAACAAGTTCTATGATGTTACGGCATTATTTTTTCCTACATACTTGTATTATAATATATTATTATTACATATTATTATATTTCGAAGAAATCATGTATTGTATTAGTATAATCAGCCATTTTTTTAAAGTCCCACAGCTAGGCACGGGCTGCCCATAGTCCACCACGCTGACCAAGTGCGCGTTGGTGGACTTCACAGATCTTTCGAAAACTTGCTAGGTTCTCCAAATATGCAGGTTACGATGTTTTCATTTCGAAGAAATCACGCAGAAAAAAATAAATTCGCCCGCACTTGGATTGTGAGTAGGGGTCAAATCTTGTCAGTACCCTTTTTTGTATAAGTCTGACGTATTCGTGGGTTCGAGTCTTAATAAATACGTTCTACACTGGTCGTACTAAGCCAAATTATGGTTTCAACATTTCAACCTCTGAATCAAGATGATATTTTCATATTATTGTTTATGATTTTGTTTTTGCGTTTTATTATTATATGTATGTAGTTTACTGCTATACTGATATAGTTTTATCTGGACACTAAATGGCGCCTAAAAATATCGTCCTAATCAATTTACATGAGATTGTTAGTATTTTTTGATATATTATGTAAGTTACTTGGTTGTTGTGTTTTTAAATAATAGATATAAAAATTATTGATATAGCATTTTCATATTGGAATATATTTTAATACTGGCTTGATTCCCCATACAAACTTTCTTCCCAATTTTCACCCCCTTAAGGGATGATTTCCGGGATAAAAAGTTTCCTATATCCTTCCCAGGGTCTCAAACTATCTTCTTACCAAATTTTATCTAAATCGGTTCAGTAGATCCAGAGATTACCCCCTACAACGTCACAAACTCACAAACTACCTCTTTGTAATATTAGTATAGATGTATATATAAACTTAATATTTTAATGAATTATACTATACCTATTACAATGTGAAATATGATTAAATTAAATAAAGAAATTCTTATAAATACAATATTTAAAATATAATAAATCAATTCCATACATTTGTAAAAACCAAGAGCTTGTAAAAACCAAAATCAATTAAGGGTTCAAGGTTCAGCAAATTATTGTTTAAAGTGACATTAAAATCTAAATAAAAAGATACGAAATGTTGCTTTTAGAGTATTCATTCAAAAATATTTTTTTATTGTTATCTCTTAAAGTCTATCACTGACTCACTGACATACAATGCACAGCCTAAACTGGATTTATTATCATGAAATTTTGCACTAGTGCTGTTGTATGATGAAGGAAGAACTAAGTAATGATATATCAAATAAAACTATCTTTTCATATTTTTTCGAGGATTTATTTTGATTTGTGGTTCCTGACGTATCGAATGCTTTACAGCAATCATGGTCACTAGAGAGACTATGGTTTTAGACGTCTCTAAAAGGCATTGTTACACAAAAACACAAAATGAATTCAAAAATACAAATATGGGATCAAAGTACCTTATAATATTTCTTAATTTTAATTACAAATTCCAAAATTTATAATATTTGTTAATTTTAATTTTTAATTTCGAAACGTCGGGAATCAAGATAAGTCTCCAAAAAACCCGAGAAGTTAGTTTTATTTAAAATGTCAAATATTTGCGTAAATCTAAAAAAGTATGATGATATTATATCAAAATTCATCCCTTAGAGAGGTTAAGCGTTTGAATATAAGTTCGGCATTTTCATTTTCATTGATGATAAAGCTTTCATTTACATTGCCGATAGAAAAACATCATTGCAGCATTGACTGCTTACTAATAAAAATAATTAATATAAAAGGTAGTAATGAGTTACAGCATGAATAGCCCTTAATTTCTAACTTCTATCTTCCACAATAGTCCACGGTCCACGTGAAGCAACCCTTAGGTTGGCGGTCGTCGTGGTCTGCTTTAGCAGACATGCCGTCGAGGCGTCGCGGTTGAGTGCGTATGCGATCCTCCGACGACTCATTAAGACGGGAGAGGTTCCGTTTGGATTTAGTGGGTAATATTGACTTTTCTAGTCGATGGGTTCTACTTAACCACCTGTATGTATGCATCATACATTTATATTTAATTACTATATTTACATGTGATGCTTTTCCCAACGCAAAAAAAAGAAAGACGAATTTACAAACAAATTAATAGTATCCACTATCTATATATAAATAGGCAAGTAAATTGAAATCAGTATATTCGTATTTACGATGCAGAGTAGTAAATGTATGGAACTCAAATCATATATGATAAATAAAGTAAACATTCGTGAACACAACGACACAAATATGCACGTAGATTCTATTAAACGATAACATATTTTCTCATACACCTTCTAACAGGAAACGTTAGGGGTACTCAATAAAGTTCAAATATATTGGAGCAAGATCATTCATATTCGCATAGTTAGTCCTTTCGCCAGTTCTTCTCAGGTCTGAGGCTTTTTCTTTCTGAACTGGTAGTAGACTCATGACGATCAGTAATGAAATATATAATAATTTAATGCGACATAAAATATTTTGAATTTCATGGACGGTAGGACAGTACGGTATTTTTTCAAATTTTGTCTACGTGTACCTAAATTATTAAGTAAACACGAGCAAAGCAATGCGTAAATGCACGTTAAAACAACATCCACAACATAAAGGCTTCCACCATTAAGTTCTTCGTAAACATTTTAATTCAGAAAGAAAACCTTTGCTACCATTCATAAAACTGGTTCAACAAATGTTTTTCAAGTTCTGAGATGTTTTCGTCTATCCAGAGTTATGTACGCAGGCATGATTGGATTTTGTAAACATAGCCCGAAATTAGAAAATTACCAATAATTAATAAGTCTTGCTTAGTACTAATTTAAAATTTATCTAAGTGAGAATACTCTTTTTTTATTGGTTGAGTTTTCCTTTTTCTTCCAAACTAATATCCATACAAGAATTCGAAGAACTGAATTTATATAAAGAAATTCTTTAAATTTTGAAATAACTTATCTAATCAAATTTTTGCTATACATATGTATGAATTTTAAGAATATATATACAACTTTACTTTTGTCGGCAAACGGGAAGACATCCAATAAACTCGTTTAGTCACTTTTCATTATAGTCCATATTGTTTTCAATATATTATTATAACTAATGTAACAGATCATAAACATTACTTAAATATGTGTTTACATATGTAGATATATGTATTAAATCAAATTAGTAAATAATAACAATAAGTTTCATATTATTGAAATCAGACCAGTAAGTTAAAACACTTGTGTATATTACTGGCCATATTATACGAAGTAGATACTACGGTTAGCTTTACATGAAAAATTCTTACCTTAACACTTTCCTTCTATTGTTGGGATGAAGCCGCGAAGCCATCTCAGGATCAACAGCTTTCAACCTAGCATGTATTTCTTCGTTTGTGAATTTACTTTCATTATCAACATCATCTTTTATTTGCTCCTTGTTAACTTCAAATTCTTGATTTAAATCACATTTTGATTCATTTATTGGAGAAGGACAAATATCTGTATTTTTTGTTGTACCTATATATTCTAAATCTACATCAGCATTTGTTCGTTTGCTTGGATTTTCATCACTGTCGTAATCTCTTTTTCTCTTACTCTTCTCCCAGAGTAAGCCGTCGGCGTCTAATGTGTCCTCAACGAGTATCTTATAAACAACGGACTCTATATAATAGATCGTCCCTCCAACAATAACTGGCATCTTCCCTTGCTCTGTTAAACTATCAATCTGAACTATGATTAAAGAAATAATTAAAACTCATGATTAACTAGGTTAAGATGTACTTAAAGCTAATAAAAATATATTGCTATCCGAACGCAAGGTTCTGGGCCAGGTTTGGCTCAGTTTGTAGTGACTCTATTTGCTGCACCAGCGGTCGCGGGTTAGAGTCCCGCTGGGGGCATTAAGATGTGTGATGAGCACGAATGTTTGTACTCCAGTCATGGGTCTTTATATTGTACGTATATAAAGTTATATATGTATAGTGTATCAGTATCAGCTATCTGGTATCTATAACACAAGCCTCGTAACTTACCATGGAACTAGATGGTGCTGTGTGTTAATGTCCCAACATATTTATTTATTACTTACGAAATTTTGTTTAAAATAACAACATAGCTTATTTCTTTTGAGATGACATAAAAATTAAATAGATCAATGAAAAATGATTAAATAGAAAATTTACGCTGAGAATTTATTAACCTTGACTAGATATGTCCTTCATTAATACGTACCATTGAACTATGATAATTTAACATTTTATCATAGAATTATATGCCTATATTGACATTAACTTAGTATCGAAACCCGTTTAGTTGATTTAAAATTTTCCATTTATTTTCGAAATACGTATCACTAAGCTGATAAAGTAATGAAAGTAAGCTTATTAAGTTTTTCATGAATGATTTAAAAATATACAAACTCGTCAGTCTATTATTACATTTTACCTGCGATTTATATTTTATTATTAGTTCATTTACGGTTCATGGTGTGATGTTAGATAGCTTATACTCGTAATTATAAGAAGAAGTAGACTTTAATAAATAATACTTATAAAGATTTTTTCAAACTAGTCCGCTAGTTTGCAAAGAAAATTCAAACAGACAAACAAAAATCGCAGGCACAAACTATCTCTTTAATTTTATAGTTAAGACTTCACATACAAACACACACGCACACTATATACTATATTCTTTGCGGGGTAGGCAGAGATTTACTTCAAGGGTTGTATAAAATAAAATCAGATATCCATAGTCTTATTTAGGCAAAAGTTATTTATTGGAGTTCTTTATTTAACGAATTGCCTAATTACAATTCTCTATGATAGTCGGAACGCGTGCGAATTTACGTATATTTTTTTTATTTTATTTCTTCGTATTATTAAAACAAATACACGTTTTGAAAATGTAATGTGTATACGTTATAGGAAACGTATAGTTTTGTTATTCTTAAAGAAATTGATGTTCTTCCTTGAATTATTTACGCCGCACTGGGTTTATTTTGTTTTTTTAGTGATCATTTTGGTTTTTTTTTCTATATCCTACATATTAATTTCATAATTAAAGTTTTACTAATAACAATACAGCAAGGGATCAAACAAACGCAATTATTTCGTAATTTCCCCGGTGCCCCCTTAACCTTTTTATAAATTACGTTTGTGACAGAATTTGTACAAATATAGAAAGTAAGTAGTCAGTAAAGAAAAGAAAGTAGTGACATTAAAATGCGTACAATGATATTCATGATTTTTATTTCTATTTTAATAAAATCGATTGAAATAATCTAATATTGTTGCAACGGCCATAACGGTGATACGTTTAAAAAAAAATCAACTCCTAATTTGTCGAACCATTTTTTCAATCGGGTCACCCTCTAAAATCCAGATTTTTATGAAATATCGAACACAGGTGGGATGGGTGTCAACTGTCACCAAAATTGGGTACCACGAGAGGTAGGTGCGATGGTATAGAGTGTAGGGACACACTATACCATCGCACTCTCCATAGAACTATTTCTGAAACTTAGAAAAATATATTATACTATTGTTAAAGGTTTACCTTTAAAAGCTAATACAAAAATGATTATGTTATTTTAAAAATCAATCAGCAAGCAATTAAATTAAAATCATTAGCTTAATATATTACTTATCAAAAACAACGGTGCGAATAATTCAGGCACCAAGCATTGGATATTTTAGTAACTGTGGTTAACGAATGATCACGTTTTGATTAAAATATGATATTCAATATGGGCTTTTAACACTATGCGTTTAATAAACGTACGAATTGAAATATCTATAATAATTTCAACAGGGACAGACTCGACTACCGCGCAATTTTTAAGCTCAGACTAAAAAATTATATTGACGGAGTCTGCCAAAATAAATGTCAATGTCAAAAATAGTAGCGTGATTTGCTGTTTATGCTACTTTTCTCGATTTTGCTATACAAATCCTTATTTTCTTTATAGAATTAGGAAAAGTTTATACATTTATTGTTATAAATTTTGAGAATAAAATATAAATAATAAAAATAATATTATATCCTCTTGTATTTTTAAGCATTAGTTCTGTTTAATTAGTTTATATTTTTTTCTGTATTATAATAAAATCTGTTAGCTATTTATTAACATTTATTTAAAAAACCGATAAATCACATTTTGACATATTTTTTTTATGATGCCAATTGGTTGAAAACTATGAATTTGGCCAAATTTTTACATTTTTCCACAAAAAACACAAATGTGATTTATCGGTTTTTATTCCGACGCTCCTCGATTGTCATACTATTTTACAACAACATTGTTTGACTTCAAGTTTAGTTCTTTAACAATCTGTCTATACTAGTCTGAGTTTTTAATATAATTTTTACTGTCGTACTCGTATATTTTACTGGCTAGTCTCAAAACCTTTATTTGACATATTCAACCCACAAACAGTATGTATGTGACGATAGTCTCGTAAATCTCTAAAACGCGTTTCAGATCCATTTAACGACTTGGTACGCAAACTTGTTTTAAGTGAAAATTTAAAATGCATTCTTGATATATGTATACATATTTATAACAAGATCGAAAGTATCTTAGAAATCCTGTTGACTCCGATACAAAATTAATGATCCATTTGGTCCAATATAAAGGTGCCATAGCAACAATTACTATAAAACTAAGAAAGCGACTTCCTGTCTGTTACTAAATTATCTATTTCTAGCGGGTTTTTGCTGTCTTAGATTGATTAATACAGAAAAAATCATTGATTCCTAGAAGGCAAAATAGCTCGATCTATTTATTTTTTTAAGTAAACACTTCAATTCCTTTGAATTACGTATTATAGTCGATTAGTTACATTAGAAATTTTACTTATAGTTTCCTCGATAGAAAAAAAAACCAAAATGATCTTTAAAAAACAAAATAAACACCTATTGCGGCATAAATAATTCAAGAAAGTTCATGAGTTTTTTAATAATAACAAAACTATACGTTTTCTATATCGTATACACTTTACATTTTCTATATCGTATACACTTTACACTTTCTAAATGTGTATTTGTTTTAACAATACGAAGGAAATACCTAAATTCGCACGTGTACCGTCCATGCTAGCCCCCCCTCCTGCCTCTGTCGTCCTAGTGAAATAAAAAGCTCGGTGCCCTCTTAATTCGAAACATAAATAAAAAATTATTTACCTTTTACAGTAACGAATCGATGTGATTTTTTTAAAAAGAAATAGTTTATGAGACGAAGAGTGAATAAAACTAATGTAATTTTTCTCTTATTCGAATCAATTATTGAAACAGAAATTTACAACGTTTTAAACTATATTTGCTTCCTATATTTCAACAAATATACTCAGTGCATATACATAAAAGTAATGTCAGTGACCATTAAAGTTTTATATTGTTTTAAGATAATCCAAACATAAACTGTGGCGGTACTGTGTAGCCAGAGCTTTATATCGTGTTTGACAAATTAACACAGCTGGAAACGTGACTTTTCCCCTATCAAATAGAGATTTTATCAACTGTTTTGCTTTATGTCACCATTTACTTTGAGATGTCCGACAGATGAATGAAGTTTAATTTTGTTTCAATACGGTCTGTTTTTCTACATACTATATATATTTTTTCGATTAGCCCTTAATATCTGTCTATACTATATACTAATATCATAAAGAGGTGAAGCTTGTGAATTGAGAGTTTGTGACGTTATAAGGGGTAATCTCTGGATCTACTGAACCGATTTAGATGAAATTTGGAGATAGTTTGAGACCCTAGGAACGACATAGGATTGTTTATCTCGGAAATCATCCTTTAAAGGGGTGAAAATGGGGATGAAAGTTTGTATGGAAAATCAACCTAGGGACGAACCCGAGCGAAGCGAGGGTGAGTCGCTAGTTTTATATATAAATACCTTAAAACACAATATAATGAACCTAGGTTTTATTTTCTATTAGTATTTTGTGTTTTAATAATATTATCATAATAAAATAAAAATATTTAAAGTAATTTAATTCTCCTCTCCTGGTATACATTAAAAAACTGGTTGCATGTGGTATAAATACAGGTATATATAATGTATGTATATATCGTCGTCTCAGTGCTTATTCGTCCAAACGACCGACTTACTGAAAGTGTTTAATACAGAATTACTGACTGTTAAATGTCAATTCTATTGATATGAAATACATATTTTACTTCAAAAAAGCAATATTTATTTTATAAATATATGCAAATAAAACTTAGAAATAAAGTTTTGTTATTAAAATACAGGAAAAAAGCTCTACCTTTTCTAAAATAAAAGTAGCCTAAGTTACTCCTTAGAACATCAGCTATCTGCCAGTGAATGTTCCCTCAAAATCTGTCCAGCCGTTGCTAAGATTACTCGGAACAGACTGATAAAAGTGTTAAAAATTGTGTTTTCTCATAAGTACCGAATATAATTTCATATGCCTTTAGTAAAACGCTGTTATTTTGACATTATAAGCAGACACTTCAATTTTATTTATCTGTATATATATCGTAATATACAACTATAGAATGCAAAAAATAGTTAGACTTTCAATTATTAACCGATGAATAATAAAAAAGGATACGATTTTTAATGCTCTATTCCTGAAGTCGACGACCGTGAACATTTGATGCGGTTCCAAAATATCCAATAAGTAATGCGGTACTAACTCTCGTTCTTGACGCGTAGCTTTAGCCGTCACTATGTCTAAACCTTTGTAGATCTGTAACAAACAAAAATAAAAAAATTAAAACTAAAAAATAATTAATCTGTAAAATAACCCTAGATTTAAAAATTAGACGACACGTTTGGCTCAGTTTGTAATAACCCTACTTGCTGCGCCAGCTGTCGCGGGTTCGAGTGCCGCTGGGGGTATTTATTTGTGTGATGAGCACAAATGTTTGTACTCCAGTCATGAGTGTTTATATTTATATATGTATCTGGTATCAGTAACACAAGCCTCGTAGCTTACCATGGAACTAGATGGTGATGTGTGTTAATGTCCCAACATAAAACCCAAGAATCATATGCGTATGTTATAGGATAATAATATTAATTACGTCGTAACTAAATTTTAGTTTAGACTCTTCTTAGCGAGCAATCTTGTTTAGCTAGCCACCTAGGTATACATGGAAGACCTAAGATATTAACGCAATCCGTACTATAGGCACAGTACCGAGAGCATTATAATACTAGCGGCTTACCCCCGCTTTGCTCGGGTTCACCTCTAGAAAAGCACAAACAGATCTATCCCCCGGGAACCGCTCGAAAAGTCCCGGGAGAAAATGTAACCTATTGTTTGACCTTCAATATAAAATATTAGCATGCCAAATTTTACTAAATTACGCACATAAGTTGTTGTGTACGAAGCTGTATAAGTTATTAACTATAGTTTTTTAACTGTCCCACGAACTCTTTAATGTTGACCGGGGATATAAGGTACCACCATGCAAAATTTCATTTAAATCGGTCCAACAGTTTTGGAGATAAGGCCAGATACAAACAGTCAAATAGACAGAGAAACAAAATTATTAAAAAATCTGGCTTTGTTCTATTTCTCTTCTTAAATCCTCCTGACTCAGTTTTTATCATTTTTTTATGTACAAACATTCGACATCTACAATTTTATTATATGTATAGATATTGATGAGTACATAATTTATACCAAAACGTAGTAATTAAAAAAGCGAACAATGGCTAAAATGCCCATAACATAAATTTTAAAATTTCTACACGTAAAATTACAAAGAATAAATATAAATAAATATGTTGGGACATTAACACACAGTACCATTGAGTTCTATGGTAAGCTACGAGGCTTGTGTTATGGATACCGGATAGTTGATACACTACATATATAACTTTAAATACATACCATATTATAAATATAAATGACTGGAGTACAGACATTCGTGCTCATCACACAAATGAATGCCCCCAGCGTGACTCGAACCCGCGACCGCTGGCTCAGCAAGTAGAGTCACTATAAACTGAGCCAAACATGTCGTCAATAATAGAAATTAATGGCTTTTAACAATGTCCTAGAAATCCTAAACTCTGTATCTCATATAATAGGTATCGTTATAATTCTTCAGCGAAAAAATAATAACAAAAACGCAGTTAAATCCGTAGAATAAAATTAGTGTTAAACTAAAACTAAAACCCGCAAGTGCCAACGAGAGAACTGAGAAACAAAGCGCGGTCTCTTTAAACCAATACCACAATTATGTTAATACGAGTTAAATGTATGAAATATATGTAACAAGGGCGCGTGTGTGAACCAATGATGACGCGGTTACATATTCATGAAGCATTTAAATTAACCTAAGATTAAGTAGGAATATTAATTTTAGCATTATTACCTACTTGAGAAATCGTCGATTTATAATAGGTTGAAATTACAATAAAATTATCTACACAGGTAAATAAAATTGAAATGTCTGTTTGTAATGTCAAAATATAGCTCTCTGTCTGTTTGTTCCGGTTTATCTCCGAAACGGCTGGACCGATTTTGATGGCACTTTCACTGGCAGATAGCTGATGTTATAAGGAGTAACTTAGGCTATTTCTATTTTAGAAAAAGGATTAGGGTTTCGCTCAAAAAAAACGTACCTAGGAACGCACCCGAGCGAACCGAGGGTAAGTCGCTAGTATATAAATAAAATCGTAAAAGCTCCATATATTGTTCTCCTCATAAGACACAAGTGTGAACTGTACGCCTATTTTATCTACGTTTGTAAAAGTTCAAGACTAATGCCCGATTTCACCAACAACCCATAAGCTACCACCTACGTATGGGATCCCTAGCTTAAAAGTCCCCTAAACTAGCCCCTAAATTAAATTTCGTTTTACCATCGTCTTTAAGCCCGTATTTCGAGCACCTAAATTTAGGGGGCCTTTTAACATTTAGGTGACCCCTAACTGTCGGTGAAACAGAAACTGTCCCCTAACAGCCCCCTAACCATGCTTAGTTGATCCCTTAAACTTAGGTGACGTTGGTGAAATCGGGCATCAGAATCGCTGTACCTTCGGGAAACATACAAAATTATACAATGTATGCAGAAATAAACCCAGACTGTAAATATTTTTTGTATGACCCATACATAACTTATTAAGGTTTACCATCTATGGCAATGAAACCGTAAATATATCTCTCGTTACACAAGTTTGCTTCGTGAAAAGCAAAATAATGTTAGGTGTAAATTAAAGTGATTTACACACGTGAGAGTCTACAATTTTAAGTCTACTCGTATCTATTATTATTTTTCAATTAGTATTACATTTATTGATTCTACGTATAGTATAGTTATAGTACTTCCAATTAAGTCTTAGCATTGCACGTTAATGAATTTTTAATTGGCTATAGTTCAGAATCCATATAAAAGCTAGTATTTACGAAGTAATTATTAAATAATATGAGCTTGTAGACTGAAGTACAAGACAAAAGCTCGCAATCAGTTCTATTCGTTATCAAAAAGCTTTGTGAAGTTATTTTACAAAAAGAAATTATTTAATTTAATGAATTTATATCAAAAATTATATCAAAAATTAAGTATTATGGTCATACGTATATATAAATGAAATTGTATATAAAAATATATTATATTCTGCACAAAATATCCTCTCTTAGATAATTTACATTGAAGTATGAGAAAACAAAATTAAGCCAAGATAAGGAATATTTATGGTACATTTTAAAGTATAATTTAGCAATTAATTCATTTATCAACATTTGCGCAAATGAACCCAATAATACGTCCAAAAATCTTAATGTACCACCGATAAGCTATCGAGGGTCATACGATTGCACAAAAGTGTACGCCTTCCGTCTCTTCTCATCGCCAAGATCAAATAAGTCACCTTGCTTTGTATTATAATGAACACTTAAGTAAACTAATAATAAAACAAAAAAGAATTACAATTTAACATTAAATAATTAAATATATATAAATATATATATATATGTACCAAAAAAGATGCGCAAAAATCGACTTATCTCTACTAAGAGATATCTAACTTTTTATAGCAGTTGATAATTTTGTGATAGGTATATAAATAAATATGGACACACACAAACAAAATATACAAATTAAGTTAATAAAAACCTCCAATAATAAGTGTATGTATGTATGTATGTATGTATGTATGTACGGGCCTCCCTTCAATACGAGGGGGATCAGGCCATAGCCCACCACCTGGCCGAGTGCGGGTTGGCGGACTTCACATGTCTTTCGAAAACTTGCTAAGTTCTCTCAGACATGCAGGTTTCCTCACGATGTTTTCCTTTTCCGTCCAATAATAAATAGTTTTTCTCCAATACCTATCATGTACAACAGTGATCAGTTACAATTTTATTATGTATGTAAATGTAATTTTTTTTTTGTTAGAAATTTTATTCTTTTTTCTGTCCTAATGTGAGATATCAAAGAGCCTTATACCTAAACAATATGTCAAATCAGGTAAGCGTAAAATAAAATTGAAAACATACATATTCTAAATCTAGATTTGTTCAGTGCATAAAATATGAATGAATCTCATATTAAGGCTGTCAACACTAATTAAAACCTATCGCGATAATTGACTAACAAAAAGGCTAAGATACGGCATTCTGAAGTTTTGTGTGTACGCATTTTATTATATATTTGCTAATTATATTTTGATTTTCATTATTCTTTTTAAATGAAACTGAGAGAGGAATCATTTTCACTGATGTTAAACCAGTGATCAAAATTCGACCAGAGTCTATAGGTATACATATATAATATAAACAAAGTCGGATTTGTTACAACACTTATAACTCGAAAACTGCTGAACCGATTTTTATGATCTTTGTTTTGATTGATTTTGTCTTCTCCCCGAATAGCAGAATAACTATTAAAACATCAGAAAAAAAACACGATATTTTAAAAAAAAAAACGCTATTTCATACTAAGCGACGAAACATACTTAGGGACCTGACTTAGTTTACTTTACATAGGGACCTGAACGTAGCGAGTGTGAGCTGCTAGAGATTATATAAATACAAACTATCCATTTTTTTTAATTGGTAACACTAAAGTTCGTCAATAAAAGAAAATCGGTTAATAAACAGAGAAAAAAAATAATTATTAATACTTTCTTAGATTTACGCGAATATTTGACATTTTGAGAAAAACTTTCTTTTCGGATTATTTCGCGGATTTATTTAGATTTTTGGCTTTGTATAAGGCCTTTGAGACGTCTATAACTTAGTCTCCCCCGTGACCATGATTGCTGTAAAGCATACGAAACGTCGGTAACCAAAAATCAAAATAAATCCGCGAAATAATCCGAAAAGATAGTTCTATTTATAATATTCATTATTATTTAGATTAATAGTAATTTTAAAGTTTTTCTAGTACATAGTTTCAATAACCATCAAAAAATAATTATTATTGAACCTCTTGCCGAATTAAAACGGACCAACATCTAATATAATTGTTATCATGAATTCTTCACCTTAGACAATTTATTTCTCACATAATTAGAATACAATTAACTAGTTGCTTTGATAACGCGACTTTACACGATAAAACATTTTGTACTTAAAAATTACAACAGTATTTTTTTTATTAAATATCATATTAAAACTTTCTTAGATTTACGCGAATGTTTGAAATTTTAAATAAAACTATCTTTTCAGATTTTTTCGCGGATTTATGTATTTCGTATTTTGGTTCCCGACGTTTCGAATGTTTTACCCCGGAAACGCTTGAGAGAGTCACGAGAGAGACTTTCTCTCCCGCATTAAAAAATGTCGAGAAACTAAAAAAAATTAATCCGCGAAAAAAACCCCCAAAAGACAGTTTTATTTAAAATATATATCATATTAACAATTTAATTGGATTTGTAACGTTTGAACGTCTAAGTATAGTCTAATTATAATATTTTCATTGAACTTTTAGAAATATTTCTGATAAATATTTCATTATCTTAAAGTATTTAATGCTAAGTAAT